GGGTACAGAGTTCAGTCAGGGCCTCACAAGACCTGAGTGACCCTCCTAGGTCAGCAAGTCCTGGGAAGGACTCCCTGGAAGCTGGTTACAGAGGGAGGAGTGGAGACGACTCTAGCAGCGTCATGGTGGGCTCAGAGACAGCTTTCAAGTGGGAGCCGAGCCTCCTGAGACGCAGGGCAGCGCCCAAGCAGGATTCCCGGAGTTATATCACCTCCCATGTGACAGGAAATCCTGATGCTGGCACCAACCAAGTAGAAAATCATGAAACCCACAGACTGATTGTCCTCAAATACAAAGATCTTGTACCACTGGAGTCAGAAGTAGAGAATAATTCTGTTCACAGTGGGGAGAGCCTAGAGCTGGAGCAGATTCGCTCTGAATCAGCTAAGGAAGTTTCTAGTGCCTTTGGTAATGATGTGTTGGAGTTGAGTAAACCACAGCTAACATGTAAAGAGGAGAGACTTTGTTTGGACAAAGACAACATCAGTCCTGGCCTTATTGATTCCCTGGGTCTAGGGACAGAGGAACATGCCTGCCATTGCAAAGAAAGAAACACCAAGTCTGCAATGAAAGAGTCTACTTTAAAGGGCAAAGTGGATTTTGTGGGACACTCAGAGGTGATCTTTGAAACACTGGAGTCACGAGACACATGTACTGGGTGTTCCTGTTGGGCTGGTGTTGAGCCCACCCACGTGGATGGGCACACAGCTTGCAAGGTGCCCCAGGCAGTTCCGGCTATCCCAGTTGACAGCAAAGAAATTGTGGTACCAAGTAGTGACCATGCCTTTTCACTCACAGAATATATCTTAAATATATCCGAAAGTCCCTCAAAAGTGAATTGGCTGAGCTGCACAGAAGGATTCTCCCATTTTTTGAATGAATTTTCTTATTACCCAATGAGAGGGTTAGCAGATCAGATGTTCTCTGAGCAACTGGCAAATGGTTATGCTGGATACCCGGTGGGCTGTCTCTGGACGAACACAGCCACACAGGGTGTGTTGGAGGGTGAGCAGATGCCTAGGCAGCCTCCGCTCAGGGGGCCTCCAGACTGGGGACCTGCTGTGTTCTCCCCAGGAGGGAGTCCAGACCAGCCAGTGGCATCAGAGGCTGCTGTGCTCTGGGCTTGGCCGAGTAGAGATGCACAGTCAGTAAGTATGTTTCATCAATGTTTACTACTGTGCTGTCATGTGCTTGTCTTTACATTTTGATTGCTTTTGACTTAAAATCAGTGAAGATGGTTCTAAAAGGTGCAGTTGTTTGATGCTTATGTGAGGCTGTGAAATACTATCCTGTCAATTTAATAGTTTCTGAATTGGAGAATGTGAATTCCCTGTCTGGGGTATGTAGGTCCAAGTCTGTGTGCAAAGTCTCGTTAGCACAGTGGCTCACCCTGCTGGACAGCTCTGAGCAGGCTCTAGAGCAGTGGTTCTCAACCTTCCTAATGCCATGGCCCTTTATTAATACAATTCCTGTGGGTCGTGACTCACAGATTGAGGAGTGCTGCTTCTAGAGACCGGGTCACTGGGACCATAGTGAGCTAGAGCTGCTCTAGCCCACCAAGCATGGACCTAGCAGAGTGTGCTCATTTAAAAACTGTGCTTTCTGGTACTTTTGTGTGTCTGAGGCAGGATGGTCGTGCTGCTTTTAGCTGGTGGAAAATTCTTGGTTCTGTTTCTTTGTCGGAGTCACCATCATGCTCTGTCCCAGATCCCAAGATGGGGCCGGCTCCTCTGGCTGGAAGAATCTTCACAGATGATCTGTGGGCAGCTAGTTTGGACATGTTTCTAGAAATTCTGTAATAAACGTAGACATTCTTCAACAACAGGACCTCAGTTTGCTCATGAAACAGACACACAATCAAAAAGATGTGAATGGAAAGACAGCTTGGGAGCAGCACAGGCTGCCATTCAACCAGCGCTTTGTTATTGGTGATTTGGGGGCATCAGGCAAGAAAATATGTTGCTAAGTAAAGAGGTATGTGCAGATGTTAGCACCTGGTAACTGAGAGGGAGCAAGTAGCAGCCCAGCCTAAGATGAGGAGCTCCCTGTCACCCTCTTTCCTGTCCATGTTCTTGTGGGGACTTTTATTGGAAAGGCATTCAGATGCATGGGTTTTGCTCCTTAAATAATTGTGGGGGCAAAGCACTATAAAATTAGGCCTTTAAAGTGATGCACGTGTGATGTTTTACATACGGGGTGTGAGCAGCAGCTGGCTGCTCTTGTCACTGCTTGGAAATCAGTGTTGAGTACTTGTCCTGGCACCCTCGCTAGCTGCACCTTTTAACCTGCTGTTAGAGACAGACTTCTCTGTAATATGGAACCTCACACAGCAGGTGTCACTTTGTCTCACAGAAGCCAGAACTGAGCCCTTCATGGCTCTGCAGTGCATGAACTGCTCTGAGTCATCTGCTTGGAGTGTCTCTCCCCATTACTCACCTGTGCAGTACTCTCCATCTCCTTGCCCTTTCCTGTGGTGAGTACCGTGCCAGAGGGACCATTCTGTCTCATGAAATATACTAATTTACAAATTTATATGTTTTCTTTTTTAAAATGAAACACAACATTCGGGGTGGTGGGAGGCAGAGAAGAGTCTTGGACCATCAGAAGGTGGCTGCTAAGGTCAGTTCGCTTCTGATGTCAGTGACCATTGCTTAGTGATGAATTATTGGTGGAGAAAGAAGATGCATAGAGCCACGCAGATGAAGCCAGAGCTCTTGGTAATGTGACTGCAAGAGCATAACCATATTTTAAAGAAATGTAGTAGATTTAGATAGAACTTTGTTTAATATCAATTCTTTCTCATGCACATTCTGAGAGTTAATGAACTCTTGATGAACATTGTTGAACAAACACAGTTTTATAATTACCATCATTTTTATGAACAAATTAATGTGTCTCTGCCTTGGTTTTCTTATTTGTCATAACTGCCTCCTGGGCTTGCTCTGATTCGGTCCAGGTGAGTGTGGCATGTGTCCACACAGGTCACTAGGTCCTCACTGGAAGGTTCCACTCTCATTCCTGCCACACCTCTTCTCTGAGAATATTTATTGAATTCTGGTTAACTGCCTTGAATTGTGCCAAGTTTCCAATACTCGATTTGGACTTAGTTACCACTTAAGAGGTGGTAGTCACTTAAGGATAGAGTCCCATTCATTTGTGGCATAAAATCTTGCACAATTTGTCAGACAGTGGGAAGTATAAATATCTGTGTCATCACTTTACTCAGCGTGGTTTGTCCAGCACCCCTTACTGAGGCCTGGGTTTGAGGTGTCAGCAGCACAGTGGTGAGCCATGTGCTCAAGGGGGGCACACAGATGGGCTCTGGCCACAGAACCTATTGGAGCCCCAGCTCTCAAAGAGCTGTGTGCAGCAGCATCACTCCTGGTAGAGTGTGTGGTCTGCGTCCATAAGCTATGAAATGTGTTTTGGTGATGCAGAACAGCCAACTGGAGATGGTGCTAAAAATAGAAGATGTGACTGTTGGTGAGAGTTAGGGACCTGAGGAGCATGTGGCATGGCTGTGAGTGGTGGGGGTGTCTGTGAATGGGGGCGGGGACTGGAGAAGGAGGACTTGATCTGGTGCTGGTGGAGGGAGGTGGAGTCAAATTAGAGAAGGATGTATGGAAATGTCGGAGTAGGAGAGAGAGAATAGATTTAAAACAAAACAAGACAGGTTGGAAAGGCATGGACTCCGACAGGCCATGCTGTGTACGAGAGCCAGCTGTCTCCAGCACAGGGCAGTATCCGGGTGCTCCCTGCTGTGCCTGGTGCCAGTGACCTCTAGCGCATCCAGAGGTGCTTGTTGGGTAGGTGGGTAGATGAGAGAAGAGGGACACCTACTCTGTGCAGGAGCAGAGGCCAGAAAGGAGCTGGAGGCTCAGACTGAGTATAAGGAGAGACAGGGAGTGGTTGGTGTGGGATGCTATTCTCTAGGGAGCCCTGTTCTGAAGGCTCAGACAGAGTGTAAGGAGAGGCAGGGTGTGGGCAGTATAGGGTGCTGTTCTCCAGGGAACCCTTTCTTTCCCTGGATTTTAGTGCTTAGAAATACACACAGACTCAGGTGTGTCCTTGTGCTTGCTTCTTGCCCAGTGACTAGAAGAGTAGGAAGTAAGGGCTACCCAGGCATGAACAGAGGGCACACTGAGGTTCTGGCCACCACCAGCCTGCAACTCTGTTTCAGAAGTAGTTTTGTGTGTTTACTGACAGCCCTGTCACCGGAGCCACATGGGTCTGCTGTGGCTTTGAAATCATGTGTGTTCTGTTGTTGTGCTGGGTCATGATGGCGTTTCCCAACCCTTTCTGTACCTGGGATATGGGAGTAGCCCTGTCTGCCCCCAGAACCCAGTGGGGACACTCCCCTCACAGCTCCTCCCCGGGGCACCTGTGACTTCCTGCACCATGATGGGAAAGGCACATGATTTGTCTAGGTTCATTGGCAGATTGTGGTAACAAAACTGGAGTTAGAGTGACTTTCTTAGACCTAGAGGAGTTGTCGAGCGCTCATTAGCAGAGAAAAGGCTATGACAGGAAAATCAGGGTGTGGGGACTGTGGAGAATTTTATAAGGCTCTCTGGAAGTTAGGAAGTGAGAACACAATTCACAGACCTGCACGTTTGAATGCATTGTTGGTGTGTACTGTTTCAATTGTAAATCTTCAAAAGCTGCACCAAGATTTCATTGTCTTACACTCTGCAGCTGGTGAAAGTGAGACATCTCGTCCTCTCCCTCGGGGTGCTCTAGCTATCTCTGACCTAACAGCAGCCTGGACAGACCCTTTAGGACCTTTGTTCTTAGGGGAAACTTCACTTTCTACACTTTTTACTTACATGAGTTTTGACTACATCATGTCTTTGTTTTACTTTCCTACCTGATTTCATCCTAAAGGTATGTAAAATAGATAGGCTCAATCTTTTTAGCCTAAATTCTCTTTACTCTACATTAATAAATAATTCTTTTTGTTGAAGTTTGGATACAAATGTATGTGTCACATTTTTTCCTAGGTACCACCAACTAAGGTTTCGGAGTTAAACCCCAACGCAAAAGTATGGGGAACTCATATGCTGCCTTTGGAAGCAAGTAGCGCAGTGGACGGTGTGAGCGCAGCGTGGGAGGACTGCAGCCAGAGGGGTGAGCAGGCTGTGTGAAGGCCAGGCTGCTTGCTGGTCTTGTTTCCATTTGGTTCTGTCTGAGAAGTTGTTTTGCATTTGTGCCATGGTTTTGGTGGTGCCTGGCACTTAGAGCCTGGACATCTTTCACAGTCCAGTTAAAGAAGTCGAGTAACTACAAGTGTTTATTTTAAGCGAAACTTCTCCTAACCCTGCCTTTTGGGGTGAAATTCCTAATTTTAGGATTGGATGCTAGTTGTGATGGCGACAAGCGCTGTGAGAACGCAGCACTGCCAGATGCGCAGGGGTCAGACCACACAGATGTCAGCACCTTGGCTCCAGGTCCCACAGAGCACGAGCCTCAGCCTGAAAGCAGCGAAGCAGGTAAAGCTGTTCTGTGGGTTTGTTCCATACAGAATACAGAGTTTTTCATTTTTTTGTTTTTTATTGAGCTTATTAAATCTTTTCCCAAACTATGTGCCTCTTACTTCTGCTTTGAGCTCCTCTTATGTGGATACAAAGATGAGAGGCCATAGGCAAGGAAGGCGGCCTGAGGGCATGAGAGCTGAGTGTTCCTGACAAACACATGGTCGGGGCGGGAGGTGCCGGGAGAACTTCAGAGATGGGACGTTGGTGTTGTGATTGCAAGGAGGCAGCTCGGGCAGCTCGAGGGATGTAGGAAGCAAGGTCACGGTAGACAAAGACAGCTGAGGCCATGTTCCGTCTCAGACCACGAAGGTTTGAACCTCATCCCTGTTGATGATGGACAGAGTGTCTTGGGGAAGACAAGTTTCACAGGATGTAAGAGAATGGCTTGGAAGATGGAAAACCTAAAACAGGCTCGGCGCCTATAGCTCAACCGGCTAAGGCGCCAGCCACGTACACCTAAGGTGGCGGGTTCGAATCCCCAGCCCGGACCCGCCAAACAACAATGACGGCTGCAACCAAAAAATAGCCGGGCGTTGTGGCGGGCGCCTGTGGTCCCAGCTACTTGGGAGGCGGAGGCAGGAGACTCGCTTGAGCCCAGGAGTTGGAGGTTGCTGTGAGCTGTAATGCCACGGCACTCTACCCAGGGGGACAGCTTGAGGCTCTGTCTCAAAAAAAAAAAAAAAAAAAGAAAACCTAAAACAGGTAGAAGCTCTATTATCCTTTGCATGGTTGTTAGGGACCCATATAGGGAATAGGATGGGAATGGACAGGAGCTGCTGGGCCTAGCTATGCAGTGTGCCAGCCATCATCAGAAATGTGGCTGAAAGCAAACCCATCTGGGACTTTGCTTTGATGTTTTATCTTTATTGCCACAACTGTCCACTGGTCTCAGCCAGGCCCTGTCCCCTCACATGCTCAGCGTGGGGACCAGGGATCCAGACCCCTAAGGTGCATGGGACTGTTGGGTACAGTGACTTCATTGGCTTAAGATTCTCAGAATACAGCAAAACCAGAAATTGTCACTGAAATACAGAACTATATTGGTGTTCTGTAACACAGTTAGGGTTTTTATTAACTTTTGGTAGCGTTTACCACTTTATTTATTTACTTATTTTTTTGAGATAGAGTCTCACTGTGTCACTCTTAGTAGAGTGCCATGGCGTCACAGCTCACAACCTCAAACTATTGGGCACTGTGGCAGGTGCCTGAAGTCTCAGCTTCTCAGGAGGCTGACGCAGGAGGATCACTTGAGCCTAGAAGTCTGAGGTTGTTGAGAGTGAGCTATGATGTCATAGCATTTTACCCAGGGCAACAGAGTAAGACTGTCTCAGTTAATCAATCAATCAATAACATTTCAGACTAAATCTAAATGACTTTAACTCTCAGACTGGGGGCAGAAATTTTATAGAAGATAGATAGGAGGTGGATGACATTATCAACAGTGAAGTAACACGTGAAAATCTGTCAGAAAATGGTAAATAGATAACTTAGCTGAAGCAAAATAGCATGATAAAAGTGTCTGAATTCTTTATTTAAAAAAGGCACTTATAGCTGTTTTCAGAAAGAGAAGAACACTTTCCTCTGCTCAGAGCCTCGTAACACTTTCTCCTTTTACTCTGTTCTTTTGTTTTTATGTTTTTTTATTTTTATTTAAAATTTTTTTTTGATAGTGTCTTTTGATGCACAGACATTTTTGATTTCTGAAAAGTCCTATTTGTCTATTTTTTCTTGTGTCTCCTGTGCCTTTGGTGACATATCCAAGGTAACATGTTGAATCCAACATTGTGAAGCTTTTATCCTGTGTTTTCAACTAAAGGTTTTACAGCGTTTTATCTTTCAGCTAGATCTTTGATCCATTTTGAGTTCATTTTTGTAAGGGTCCAACTTAATTCTTTTGCATCTGGATATCCAGTCTTTCTAGTACCATTTCCTTTCCCTATTGTGAGTGGTCTTGGTACTCTTGCCAGAAGCTTATTTGGCCATATTTATGAGATTTGTTAATATTTTTGGGCTCTGTATTCTGTTCCTTGGTCTGCTCATCTGTTTTTTGTTTTTTGGACACAGAGTTTCACTATGTCACCCTCAGTGGAGTGCTATGGTGTCACAGCTCACAGCAACCTCAAACTCCTGGGCTTCAGCAATTCTCTTGCCTCAGCCTCTCAACTAGCTGGGACTACATGCACCTGCCACAATACCTGGCTATTTTGTTGTTGTTGCAGTTGTCGTTGTTTAGCAAGCCCAGCCCGGGTTCAAACCTGCCAGCCCCAGTGTATGTGCTGACACCCTAACCACTGAACTATGGATGCCAGGCCTGCTTATCTGTCTTTGTGCCGGGACCGCACTGCTGATCACTGAAGCTTCCCATTGAGTTTGGGGTCAGGAGGGCAAGTCTTATAGCTTTACTCAGTTTTAGGATGGTTTGGGTGTTTAGGGATTTCACACAAATTTTAGGATGGATTTCTGTTTCTGCAAAATAACTCATTAGGATTTTGGTAGAGATTGCATTGAAGCTATGGATTGCTTTGAGCAGTGTGGACATCTTAACACTGTTGAGTCTTCTAACCCGTGGCCATGGGGCACCCTTCCACTTATTTAAATGTCTCTGATTTCTTTCAGCACAGTTTTGTAGATTTCATGCTACATCTTCATTCAAGTCTGTCACCCCCTTGGTTAAGCTAATTCCTAAGTATTTTATTCTTTTTTTTTTTTTTTTT